CACGCACGTTGCGCGGCCGTCGGCGGTGGTCCTTTCTTCATGGGTTGCAGGCTATCTATGGCCGATCCATGAGTCCTGTTGCTGCTGCCATTATTGTTTTTTTAATTGTCATCGTTATTATTTCGTGCAGCTGTTGCCACCTGAAACACCCGCCACAGCAGCTGCTCGGCCCTTTGCTGATTCGGACTTCTGCCACCCAGTGCCGCTCGCCCACGCCTGCTGCGACTCGACTGGTTTTCTGCCCTTTGCGGTACGTACCAGCGACGCCCATGGTCCCGTGACCTGCTCGATCTCCTCGCAATCTCTCTCTCCGGCCTTCCAACCACTGCTATTCGGGACCGGCTTCCATCCGCTTGTGAGTCGGCATTTTTAGTTGTCCAGCCTTGTCGGTATGTACATCCTGCCTGTCCCTTTTAAATTTCCCTTTTGAGAAATATCAATCCACCCCCCTCTGATCATCCCCTTCCCGTCCCCACGGCCTACACGCTGGGTGGTGGTTCTCGGTGTGGTCGTTGCTTCGCTCGTGTCGCAGAGCGAAGCGCGACGCCCTCACTGTCAGCTTTCTCACCTGACGCGTCTAGACCCTCTCCCCTCTCCCCTCTCCAACCTTTCCCCCAAGCTTGTGGTATCTTGCCTTTTTATGTTTAAGCCCATCATGATTGCCCCATTCATGCCCCCGTCGATCGCGTATCGATGATGATTGATGATGACCTTATTGCCCGTGTGTCTTTTTTTCTGACAGCTCTTTTCGCCCTGCAGATGGGTTGGTAAAACCACTCGACATGAATGCCTGGCCAGCCGACGCCTTGAACCTTCCGAACCATGACAATGGTGCTTTCCACCAGGCGACCATTGATCCTTCTGCGGCATTCCTCCACACCTCTCCCACTCCCGACCCTACCCAGTTCCAGCGCATGTTCAATGGCGTGCCGCGCAATGCCTCGCCTGGCTTCCACAATCCCAACCAGGTGATTCCCTCCAAAAGGCCTCGGCCGGAGGATGGAATTTCGATGTCGCCTAGACAAGCACCCGGTGGCATTGCCGCGTCCCGATCGCAGACTCCTCATCAAGTGCCTTTCCCAGGGTATCAAGGAGCTGCGAATGGCGCGCCTCAGTATCCCCCGCATCCAACCCCGTACCAGCATCTACAACAAGGAGCCTCTCCCAATGTGACTCAGTCTCCGATCATGCAGGAGTTTGACCAACATGGCGTACAGCGAATGGGAACAGCTTCCCCTAGTCCGTTTTCCCCAGCAGGCCCTCAAGTAGGCTCCCACATGTCCTCTTCGCAGTCAGATCATCCAAGTAGGGTGAATACACCACAAAACTCGTTCATGCCCAGCCAGCCCTTTCCTCAGGCCATGGGCCCACAATTTCCGACTGCGCCTGCAATGACGTCCGCCGCCGTGCAAGCGCCAATGCAGGCTCCTTATGGCGGCATCCCACAGGGCTATCAACAGGCGATAGCTGCTCAACAACAGCAACAGCGAATGCATGCCATGCAGATGCAAAACCAAGGGCGTCCGATGGGTATGAACCCTGCTATGGCTGGGCGACCGGTGGCAGCTGGTATGAACGCGATGGCCAATCCTCAGCAAATGGCCGCCATCAGACAGATGCAACAGACCATGGCCAAACCGCCTAATCCGGAAGGGTTCATGAGGTCGTTGCAAAAGTTCATGATGTCGCGCAACTTGCCCTTGGATCCCAATCCCGTTGTTTGCGGTCGTCCTATCAACTTGGTCCAGCTTTATGCGACTGTTATGAAATTAGGTGGATCGAAGAAGATAGCAGCCACAAACATGTGGCATGTTATTGCGCAGCAGCTTCAGTTCCCCTCAATGCAGCTTCCAATGGCCGTGCAGGAGATTCGCGAGCATTACCAGCGCAACCTCGCTGCATACGAGCAGGCGTTCCTCAGTACACAACAAAAGCAGTTTGCAGACCAAATGCAGCAGACGGCGCTGCCACGACAACCTAGTGAGCCAGCTGGCATGCAGTTTCAATCTCCGGCTGTCAAGCCGGGTCCAGGTTTCGAGACTCCGCAACAGATGGGACACCCCTCACCTAGTGCCGCGCCTGTATCAGGTGCTGTACATCACAGTGCTTCAAATGGGTTTGCAACACCAACACCGGTAAAGACTCAAGGCAAACCGCAAAATCAACACCGTCTTAGTATTTCTCGCCAGTCACAACCCCCCGCGACACCTCATGATCCCACTGGTCAAATAGGTCAAATAGGTCAAATACCAGGGCAGTCACCTGCGCAGCCCGGCAAAGGCCCAGGCCCAGTACCTGGGAAACCTTCGGAGCCGTTAGAACAATCGTCTAATCAGCATCTTAAGCACCAGATTGAGAATACTTTCAAACCGATGGTTCTACCGCAAAGCAATTTTCATGGCCCGATAGCCATTGATGAAATGTATCAGATTGGAGAAGATATTACAAGACTTAAGCCAAATGTCCCCACTTTTGCGGAGCTGGGCGTCATTGACATTCATGCACTCACAATGAGCATTAAGTCCGGGATGCATGCAGAGATGCGTATGGCATTGGACACTCTCACATCTATCTCTTCCGAGCCCGCGATCCAAATTTCTCTAGAAAACTGTGACGACCTGGTGGAGAGCTTGATAGAATGTGCCGAGGATCAAGCAGAGTTTCTTGCAGAGCACGCCGCGGAGGTTTCTGACATGATGCTCCTATCCTCGTACGAGGAGGTAACTCGGGGATGTCAGTCAGAGTGGACATCCTTGGCGGACATTCCTGAATTTGGAAGCATCGACTATGAACTCGATCGTGCTGTCGATCGACTTATCTGCATTACGACTATTTTGCGCAATTTTTCGTTCATTGAGTCAAATTTCGGGATCCTGTCTACGCCCCCGGTCGTTCAGTTCATGGCCACTATTATTCGTTATCTCGGCACTCGCAACATGCTACTACGGACGCATCAGAATACCTTGGATTTTATGAAGGACACAGTGACCTACTTGAGTAATGTGGCCCACACTATCCAATTACCGAGTAAAGAAGAAGCTCTCTGCCTTTTACATTTCCTTTTATCGTTCGCGCCGTTTCCAGCACCCATGGGCATGGAAAACATCATGTTCACGTCATACAACCCCTCTATCCACAAATACACACCTGCAGCGGTTGATAGCTTAGCCAAGCTTCTGGCACGAGATGAACCCAACCGGACATTCTTCAAAACGATATTTTCGGGCGAAGGTAATTCTGTTCAGCAGGAGTTGCTTACCCGTGCTTTTGGACTTGCGATTTGCCCGGTCCCTGATCAGCTCCGCAAACCGTCGGCCATCGCGGATGCCCGCAAGGTCTTCCTAATGCAAGGCCTCTTGGCTGCTGATATCTTGTCCGGATTTTCCGATGGACCCACTTCCAAGTTATGGCTGGAGTCTATTGATGGGTTTGCAATTCATCTTTTCCGACTTTCTTGCCTTCTGAGTACAGAACGAGTACCTCCGCCCAGCACAAATACACGTCAATCCCATGCCGCGAGAGGCCAGGCTGAAGCGGAAGCTGCTGCATACAGCTCGCTCATTAACCGGGGCCTGGCAATTTTGCGCCGACTGGCCGAGAAATCAAAACTTGCGGATTCCAATTCGACATTGCACTTTCCGTCTGGAATCATTCCCCGGAAAGAGAACCTTCTTGGCGCACTGTTAATGCCCAACATAGACCCTGGTGTTGTTCGGCAACTCATAACATATGCACGACTTGCGGAATGATTGCGGTAACTTCTGGATGGTTGGAATCTGAGCTATTTCTAGCAAAGGCAAAAAGGCTTGGTCACGCTTTGAATATGCCTTGTTGATGTTTGCTTCTGTCATGTCTTCTATTCGTCTTGAGTAAACTACTATCTACATCTCATTCTCCTTTTCCTGTTTGGCGCCGGTGGGAAGATTATCGAGAGGCGTGACACTGTGTATCTCTGTGCTTTACCGCTGTACAATGTTCAATACCCTCGGGCGAAAAATCATGCATGATGTCTAAATGGGTAAACTCAGATCATGGTCATCAACAGACCAGATACAGATCTCTTGATCTGCACAAGTTTAGTTCTTGCCTGGCTGTAGTTGCGGGCTATGTATGGCTAAGGGAGAAGCCAATCAACCACATGAAATAGCTGCTCGTCTGTGGAAGGCTATTCCACATGGGTGCACATCCTGCTGCCGGTATTAATTATTCTAGGCCAAGGTCGAAAACGATACTCGCATGAGTAAACAAAGAAAAAAAAAACTCCCGACCCCAAACACGGAATGGATCCGAACCGCGGATCAAACGCGGGGCAGGCTCGCATTCAAAAGTTGGGATCCCCATTGGAATTGGATGCTAGAGTGTGCATTTAGGTGTGTATTAGAGAAGTAAGGATATCTAACAAACCTTACATATGGCAAGAACAATATCTAGACAGGTAGGTAGGTAGGTAGCAGATAATATTGTGTATAAAACCCACATTATCTGTGCCCATGGGGGACAGCAGACAGACAGATGGGATAAATAGAGTCTATCTCCGGGCGCACTTATTGTGATAGCATAGTATTTGAAAGGGACACTGTACAAGGGGGGGGGGATATGTTGTATGATTGCTACAGGTAATACTTATGTTAAGACTTGACCTCGCCTAGCCTTATATACTACAGGGTATTGATTGGTCTACTGAGGTACCCATGGTGGTTAGTCAGTCCCTTGAATCGGAAGAGGCCAGGTTTATAACAATAACAATCAAAATTCTGAATTGGAGGGGGGGGACAGCGAATAATATAGAAAGAGTGACAGGAGGCAGAAGACGTGGCATAATACTACCGAGATCGAGTACCACCTACCATAATTTTGAAGTAGTATTGAATACACGAAAAAGACTTATCAGGGAGGAAAGAAATAAAGAAAGCCTCTATTCTGTACCTATGTAACACATTTATTGTTTCCAGGAAGCAAAAGGCAAAAACAAATCCAAGAAAAAAAAAGTATTGGAAAGACGACAACGGCAGGGTTCGAACCTACGCGGGCGAACCCAACAGATATTTGGCACCTGTGGAACAAGTGTAATTCAAATCTGTCTCCTTAACCACTCGGACACGTTGTCATTGATGGAGTAAGTACTTCTAAATTTCATTACTGTTTTGCCGGCTGTAGTGTGAGGTTAAAGCGGTGTTCTTGACGAACTATGATTGATCGGTATTGGGCGGTATATATCGTGTGATACACTATGTAGGTAGGCACCTATGTATTCGGCAGAATATCTACACCGCTGAGGGATGCTCTTGTATCAGCTTAATGCAACAGCTTTTATTCTGTTTGCTAGATTTGATCTACTAGTTATTATAAAATTGTTAAGAGTCTGAGGGGCGGTTAGATTCTCTAATGTAATCCTATATTTGAGAATACATACTATTATAGAATAACATAGAGCAGTGAAAGGCCTCGCTCTGTTTGCCTTGGCAACCCCCAAATAGTACTAAAGAGGGCTGGCTATCTGACAGGCGCTTACCCCTACTGGTAGCTACATATTACGACCCTTCATATCGTATGGTAATTTCAACATCAAATAGATACAGCTGTGTCATTTGATAATGAAGGTAGCTTATTGGCTACATAGAAGAACCCAGCAGCTCAAAGATACTCGTTCAATATTGTTTCCCTCTAGTCCTGACTATTCAGTTTCGCCGACTCTGTCTGCGTCAAGGGACCCTGCAGCGGAACTGGAGACCGAAACCTGATGTGAAAATGACGTGTCTGATTTCAGGGGAGATACTACTTCCGCATGACAGAAATACGAGAGACATCGCTAGGAACCATGCATGATGGGAGGACGTTAGATTGATACTACACACTCAGCAGTGGAGACAGACCACTGCCGTATGGGGGCGTAAGCAAGAAACAAAGTACCGAACCAGCAGTTCGCCGTAGAGTTGAAGAAATCACGCCAGTAGACAACAGCCAGAAAGCTCCGCGAAGAGGAATTGTGACAGAACACCAGCACTAGGACAGTAATACACGGTGAAATAATAGCTAAGTAAGAAATCGAAACGAAAATGGAGAGAAGATGGGAAAGAAATATCCTTGGTCACCATCGATTATGGCTGCTCGTCTCATCCTATCATCCGCCGTTTTGCACCAAGTCTGTGGTCGCGTTCCTTTGGGCCCTGGATCCCTGTCGCCCCATGGTAGATGTGACAATGCGCATGCGTGTAACGATGTCGTCGAATCGTAGATGAATTATTGACGACGAAGAAGAGTGGGTAGGGCGGAGGCGACAGGGATGCAAGGATGCACCTTTTTTTCTCTGTCTCTTGTTTAGAAGTTACGTTCTTCGAGGAACTTCAGGATCTCAGGTTTCCGCCAGCCCTAAAAGTAAGAACCAAATAAGCCCCGATCTGCGCGGAAGGTTAGATGATAGGGCGCACCTTGACAATAATATGACCGTTAAGACGGTTGATTGTGACATCAGAACTCTTCTTCTCAATTCCCAAAAACTGTGCCAGATCACTCTTCAAGGCATCCAGATCACCCTCAGTCTTCTGGAGCTTGGTCTGTTGCTTCGTGCCACCAGCCTTGGTAACGAGATAGACGGGGAGTTGGTTGGAGGCTGTGCGACGGATGAAATAGGGAAGGTTGGTAAGTTGCAGGCTGGCCGGCAGTTGCGATGCCGGAGGGTTCTCCTTCAGGGTCTGGGATTGCCGCTTTAGTTGAACGAGGAAGGTCCGACATTGCTGAGCGGCAGCCTTGGGATGTGAGTTGAGACGGAGGGAGGAACGGAGGGCGGGTTCTAGAGGAGGGTCAGCCGCAGACTCTTGAGGTGTCTTTTCATGGAGCATTGAGTTTTTGCCGGTTCAGGGACCGCCAGCCATGCCAGCCCTGCCAGCCAGGCTTACGGTCACGGTGATCAGACGGAAGGAGGCGCGACTTACGAGAGGTGAGCGGGCTAGGAGACGAACATAGCGTCGAGAAGGAGCTACGCGTCCCCGATGAGGCAATGGGCTGTGAGGCTCTGTGGAGGTAGAAAGGGACGATGGAGGACTGCTTGCGAGCGGCCGAGCAGACCGGCAGAGACTGGAGGAAGGACGCCATGGAGTGGATGGGGAGGAGAAGGAGGAGGAGGAGGAGGCGGCGGTTGAAGTAGAGGGCGATTCCGAGGAGGAGAGGAATCAACGACCAACCAACCCAGGCGGGGATCCGGGCAGAGCAGAGAATGGACTGACTGACGGCAGACGGACAGGCTGGAGGATCCGGAACATACGACATGCAGAAATGAAGCGATGATTTCTTGCTTCGGCGCGGAGACCTGCCGCTAGCCCCCAACCGGGCTAGCGCGTCCAGCAGCCCTCCCGCCCACATTTTCGCCAGCGCAAAAGCCGCCGCACACTGACTGACTCTGCCTGTTTGAGTGTCTCCGTCTGCCTCTGCCACCGGAAGGTCTCTATCTCATCCTCGAGATCGCTTCCTTCTCCTCCACACCTCCCCCCTCCC